ATTTCGAGTAAACATTTTTAAAATGAGGCAAAAGGCAACATTCGCAACATAATTTTCGAGTGCAATGAACAATTTTTTTGGATTTCTTAAGTTTTTGTCTTTGGTGCGAGATATTTAGTTATTTAGTTCAACTTTGGTGGTGGTACGGCAGTAGTTAACATAATTCTTGGAATACATCCTGCACCCCTTGCGGGGGATTTTCACTTCACTTTAGCGGAATTTTACAATAATAATTTATTTATGATTTCATTTCGATTTCGACACAATTCAGTTTTGTTACGGCTTAAACTTTGTTTGCTTAACTTTAGGTTGGTAATTCCCTTCATTTCATAGATAAATCTCCTCTCCGGATGAGTAGCGTACTGCTGGTACGTTTCGGCATTCGTCACACGATTTGTTCAATGTTTAATGTTGTTTTTGTTGATTTTTTAATGGCATATCTAAACTAGTTCCAATCGCTTCATCTCCTTGAAGAGCTCATGGCCCATTTTGGCTGGACTCCTGGTCACAATGACGCCGGCCTTCTCCAGGGCGGCAATCTTATCGTTGGCACCGCCCTTGCCGCCCGAGATGATGGCACCGGCATGGCCCATACGACGGCCGGGTGGCGCCGAAACGCCAGCAATAAACGACACCACAGGCTTGGCCTTGATGCCCTGTAAAGGAACAACAGAAAGGCATCAGAAAAGATCCTTTAACTGTACAAAAATCCTTAGCTCTTACCGTATTGAACTCCGTGAGATAATCGGCAGCCTTCTCCTCGGCCACGCCACCAATCTCACCGATCAGAATGATGCCCTTGGTGTCGGGATCCTTGAGGAAGACCTCCAGGCAGTCGATAAAGTCGGTGCCGTTGAACGGATCACCGCCGATGCCCACGCAAAGGGTCTGGCCGAGACCCACCTCGGTGGTCTGGTGCACCGCCTCGTAGGTCAAGGTGCCCGAGCGGGAGACAACGCCGATCTTGCCGCGCTTGTGTATGTGACCCGGCATGATGCCAATCTTGCACTGCACACAAGAGAGAGGCAAAGAGAGAGAGAGTAAGTTAAGGTCCAACCGGTTCATGCGTCAGACGCACAAAGAGATAAGCCGCACATAAACAATGACAATCAGAGGAGAGCGACCGATCGATCGATTGAACTTTGCTCCTCCCCATTTCCATTGCGGCTTATCTCTTTTGGGGCACGGGTAGTACGAACCTGTTCGGGCGCAATGATGCCCGGGCAGTTGGGTCCCACCAGGCGGGATTTGCTCTGGCTGATCAGAGCATGCTTGACCTTGACCATGTCATGCTGTGGCACACCTTCGGTGATGCAGACAATGAGTGGAATCTCAGCATCGAGCGCCTCGATAATGGCAGCTGCGGCGCCCGGTGGTGGCACATAGATGACGGTGGCATGTGGATCCGTTGCCTTCTTGGCCTCAGCGACGGAGGCGAACACGGGCAGACCCAGATGCTGGGTGCCGCCCTTCTTGGGCGAAATGCCGCCAACCAGCTTGGTGCCATACTCCAAAGCCTGTTGGCTGTGGAAGGTGCCCTGCTTGCCGGTGAAGCCCTGGCAGATCACCTTCGAGTCGCCCGTCAGCTTCAGATTACCGCGCGTCTTGTTGTACTGCGAATTGCAGCGAACGCCAGCGACGAAGCCGTCTGGAAAAAGCCGAGAAAGACAAAACAATTTCCATTATCAATCATCAGTTGTGTGTGTGCAATTATGTTACAACTTTGTTTGTTCGTCAGGTCACATGCGGACCTTGAACGCTCGCACCACCCCCTCGCACCCCCTCAGCGGACAGTGCACCCACCAGCTGCTGGCCGAGACTGCTTCTTCTTGCCTCCAGCCACGTCGTTTTTCGAGAGTTTATTAATTCCAATTGAACCAGATAATTGCTCATTAGTCGTAGGTACACAGCCACCTGTCTTGCCCTGCTGCTTGCATGTTTGGTTTGCTTTTCAAACCCCATAAATCCATCGAAGTTATATAATTTATGCCGCGACCGCTGACTATGTTTCGCAATAGTTTGTTTTTGTCTTGCTACTTACCTCGCACTTTCAGTAGCGCTCTCATCGATGCAGCCATTTTATCTGTGTGTTGCGGTTGTGCGATAAAAGCTGTGCAAACTGCCTGCTAATGGTTTTAAACGCGTTTAATTAATGCGAGAGCTGGACCCAAAGAGAGAGGCGGCGCGGTTGGTTCCACTGTAACACCTGTCTGCGATCTGGCAGCATCGTGCCGCCTACATCACACAGCGTTGCCAGTTTCAGATTTTAAAAGTGCTACCAGACTACACATTTTGGTTTTACAGCGAAATCAAGAAGTGCATTTTGCATTTTTACAGCTATATGTATTGATTGCAGAGTGACCCTGCCCTACACTCATAAAATACCAATAGCGACTGCAGGTAGAATATTATCCATTGGCATCATTAAAATTTCACATTTCACCGACTGAACCTTTATTTTTGAGTAATTAAAGCAAAGGACAGTTAAAAAAAATATTCTATTGCCTCACTTTAGACATAACTTAAACATAAACTACGTAAGCCGAGCATTTAATCTCTACAAAGATCGAAGTTTCCTCGCAAATTCTCGTCAATTTTTGTTTTAAAACTTTTCTAAGGCCAAAAGTGAGTGTGTTAACGGTACAAAATATATATGTACAATCGCTTTGATTTGTATAAAAGTAATTTTTGTCTGGTCATGTGTACTTTACGTATTTTGCTTTTTGAACGGAGGGCTGTGGTTTGTTGCCAGTCTCTTGCTTTGTTGGGTCTTTTGCATAAATTACTTAATTAAAGCGCTCATTGGAGAGCAGTGACTCAACGTCCTGCTCTGACGGGAGCTGCTGGTCGCGATTGAATGCATTCTCTTCGCCCTTGAGCAGGCGCTGATAGACCTGAATGGCCCGTCCAGTGCGCGACTGGCGATGCTGCAAGAGAGAGGCAAGATTAGGTGGCTGGGCGCCCAGGGCTTTGGACCAATCGTTCAGCAGGGCCTGGGACTCGTCCATTTGGATTACCTCTGCATGCTCGATGCTGTGCAGCAGCTTGTAGTTGGTCAAAAACTCGCCAATCTTCTCAGTTAGCGAATCGAACAGAACCACATGCGTGGGCAGGGCAGTGCGCGGATGGATGGGTATGTGAGAGTTAAGCCAGTGATTGGGCGACTCATAGAAGCGATCAGCTTCGTCCTTGAAGTTCTCCTGATGCTTCAGATTTGGCTCGCAGGTAAGGAAGCGCATGGTAACATTCTCATGGATGTGGCTGGAAGTCAGACAAGAGATTAGCTTAAAGCGTGAAGCAAACTCACACTTAACTCACCTGTAGAACGGCGTCGAGTGGCATGGCATGAGGAAGAGAATGTTGGCACGCTGCTCACGCTCATCGCGATACTCCTGGGCAATGTCCCTGAGTTTAGGCATCAGATCGATGGGTCCCTTCTGGTGCACCGTGCTCAAGTACCAAGCGGGCAGCGCATTTCCCAACAGAATTACAAACGCAGTGCACCAGAGCATAGTGGACGAAGCACGATAGCTCCAGCGGGACAGGGCTTCCACGGTCACATACAGGCACAACGGCAGCAGAGGGGACACAAAGCGGAACTCCTTGTGCTCCACGGTGCTCAGCACGACCAACGTGAGCAAGATGGTAATCAGGAGTTGCTTGCTGACTTTGTACTTCTCGGACTTGCGAACCGTTTCCATGATGCCGTATATAAATGGAAGCGTGTTGATGCCTAGAACTGTGGGCAGGCCAACGGTGAAGTACCAATGCCACGGATGCGAGCCATAGAAGCTGCCAATGTTGTTGAAAATGTTGTACTTGAGGAACTCATAAGGCGTCACAATGAGCTGACCATGCAAGTAAGTGTCTATGGCAATGCCCAAGCCGGCAACAAGTAAACTGAAAGAGAAACCGAAGTATGAGTAAAGAATCCCTGCCGAAAGCAGTGTCCAGCACTCACCCAATGGCCAGGAAACGCTTCAGAATCAGCTCAACCGGCGACAGGCGACTCTTGCGCAGATGATAGATGGACAGGGGCAGCCAGATCACAGCAGCGGTGGGACGCAGGAAGCAACAGAAGGCAGCGGGCCACAAGTAAGCGGTGCCCTCGCCATACCACGGAAAGTAACTCAGCGCAATCGTGGTCAGCGATGCCTCCAGGGTGTTGGCCAGGGTGCGCGAGCCCGTGTAGAACCAAAACCAAGGCACTAAGATGAGGAACAAGGCCCACTTACGCTTGCCGGTCCACACAAAGAAGCGATAGTCGGAGTAGGCCGTCAATGTGGCCTGCAGAATGCGCGGCAGCAGCACTAGCAGCTGAACGCTGTCCAGATGGAGTAGGGCCAACACTTTGTACAGTCCAGCAATTAGCAAGGGATACACATAGCTGCGTATGCCTTGGACCCACTCCCATGTGAGGTAACCATAGCTGAAAGCAAGGGAAAAAGTTTTCTCAGCAGGCGGACTGAAGAATCGTTTGTGAATGCCTTACCCAAAGGTCAGTTTGTGTGCCACTTCCAGGCTCTGCCAGTATTCATCCGGCACGTAGTAGGTCTTCACTACGAAAACGGAAGCCAAGCGAACGGCCAGAATCAGGCCAAAAACGTACAGCAGATTCATCGCTGCGGGGGGTGGAGGGGCACCACACGGCGTGCGAGTGACTGCTGGCGCGTGTTTTAGTCACTTTTACTAGTAGTGGTAGCTTTTGCTTATGCTGTCAACTGAAATGAATTATGCACGTTGGCCGTACGACATTTACATATTTATTTTTTGGACTTTTGTTTTTTGCGGCAGCCGAACCTAACCTTAAAAAGCGACCAACGTCAGTGGCGAGGCCGGCCGTGGGCGACGAGGTGCGTGTAAATATGTCTTAAAACACGCTACACTGTCGTTTATAGGCACAGTTTTATTTTTGTCTATTTTAGCGGAGCGAAGAACTGTTTTTGGCGGCCTAAAAATAACGCGAAACATAGATCAAAGCAAAATTGTGGAGAACGACGCCGACGGTGGTGCTGCTGCGCAGGGCTGCAGCCGATATGTTGCCTATCGTTTCCACCGGTCCGATGATGCGCAATGCCGTCTCACATCTGCGTCAACGAGCAACAATGAGTCTGCACCGTAATTATAGCCGTGGAAAAACGTCTGATAATATATTTGGAAAAATGTTTGGCAAGTATTTGGCAGTCACGAATATTGTGGGATCGGGACTGTTGCTGGTGGCCGGTGATGTACTTACTCAACAATATGAAAAGGCCATGCAAATGAAACGATTCGACTTTTACCGTTCGGGACGCATGTTCGTAACGGGTTTGGTCGTGGGCCCCGTGCAGCATGCATTCTACAGTCGCCTCGATCGATTGCTGCCGGACTCAAAACGTGTTACGGCAGTGAAGAAGATATTTTTCGATCAGCTGTTCATGTCGCCCACCTATATCTTTCTGTTCTTCTATGTATCCAGTTTGTTGGAGGGCAATACAATCAAGGAATCAAATGCAGAGATTCGCGAGAAGTTTCTATACACCTGGATGCTTGACTGCATGATCTGGCCGTGCGTACAGTATCTGAATTTTCGCTTTCTGAATCCCAGGCATCGCGTCATCTTCATAAACGTCACCAACTGCATCTACATTGTTCTGCTCTCCTACATAAAGCACGATATGGGTGCGAATAATCACAATCAAACTAAAATAAAAGAAAAATCCGACTAGATACATGCAGATGCATGTAGAACGTCTGTAATACACGTTTTAACAACTAAAACTTTAAAATATTCAAATTAAAATCGTGCCAGTGGCACTGGGCTAAAACCTATTTTCGATATTTTTCATCGAGTTTCACTACAAAGCAACCCTTCAAAATGATAACGTAACGTAAAATAAATGGAAAAAACAGATAAATACAATACACAAAGAGGAACGGAAGACGAGCGTTAATTTTGAATTGTCTTGGTGTCCGCCTGTAGGCAGCGCAGTGCTGAAATGTTGCCCATCCGTTGTCTGCGGCTGCTGCCCGGTGGCGCGGTTCGGCTGCCTCCGCTGCTCGCCAAACAAATCGATGTACCTGTCGCCCAACAACGTTCCTTTACAGCACTCTCCAGAGTGGTCCGTGTGCGAGTGGCTGCTGATGTAATCGCTGGAAGCGCATGTGGCCGACGGCTGATAAGTGGCAAGACGGGCGAGCCACTGACACTGCTGCTCCATCGCTGGTCGAAGCTGGCATGGAGCAACATGTTCGGCAAGTATCTGCTGGTCACGAATGTGCTGGGCTCCGGCCTGCTTATGGTCGTGGGCGATGTGGTTGCCCAGGAGTACGAGTATCGCAGGGGATTGCGCCGGCAGGATCGTTACGACACGGATCGCATGCTGCGCATGTTTGTGGCTGGGGCGCTGCAGGGACCGCTGCACCACTACGTCTACAACTGGATGGATCGCATTATGCCGGCGAGGACAATGACAAATATTGCCAAGAAGATACTCATCGATCAGTTGGTGATGTCGCCCGCCTGCATTTTCATATTCTTCTACTCTGTGTGCTATCTGGAGGGTCAGACGCTCGAGTGCACAAACAAGGAGCTGATTGGGAAGTTTCCCTACATCTACCTGCTGGACTGGATGACCTGGCCGGCGGCACAGTACATCAACTTTCGTTACCTGGACACCAAATATCGCGTTACGTTCGTGAACATCTGCACGGCCGTGTACAATGTGCTAATTTCCTACATGAAGCATGACTTTGGCATACACCTGCCGCTGGAGCATGAAACGCAACCATCATTCGTCGAATCACTCAGTCAGGGCTTAAGACAGCCAACAGCAGAAGGCCCAACAAAGTCGGAAACAGACAAAAGCACAGCGAAAACAACGCACTAATCTTACTCAACTTAGGAGCTACTTTTTTGTGATATTGATAAAACGGAAACACTAAATTCTTAAGTCAACGCCGAGCACATATTGTTAGTTATTTGTGCACACTTGTTAATGGAAAACAAAGAGGCTATTCTATATACCACATTTATTTCCTTATTACTTCTAACGACCTGCCCTGGATCACTTTATTTCGATGGTCTCCACGGGCTGTATGCCAAAGATGTGCTGTGCCAGCATCAGCTGCTCTTGGCTGATAAAGTTTGCCAGCAATGTGATAATATTCTCATTGCAGCGCGCAATTTGTTGCCTTGTTATCGTCTTAAACTCGTCCCGGGCGCCCTTGTCTGCACCGCGCGTGCCAATGCGACGTGGCGGAACACCAGCAGCTCCGCTGGCTGTGCTCGATACGCCTGTGGGTGAGCCAGTTAGCTCGAAGTTGGAGTCCTCCAGCTGTGAGTTCCAAATGTGCGAGAGCTCCTCAATCAAATCTATGTTTATGATGTAGGTGGAGAGCGTGCGCAGATTGAAGGACTTGCGCTGCTTAATCACTGAGAAGATTTGCTGCGTGAGTCGCGTGTCGTTGAGCAGATTCAACTGCTGCAGCACCAGCAGATCCCCAAGCAGACGATCCGAGCAGTTGGGCTCATAAACCTGTCGACTGATGCGACTAACGATGGCGCCCGTGCAATACTGAACGAGTGCGGCACGCGTGAGCGGAAGGAAGACCATGTGGCGATGTCCCTTCAACGTCATGTTCTCCAGCAGATGACCATTTGTGGCGGGCAGCTCACCAATGATTGTCAAAATGCACTGAAAGCCCTGTAGCTAAAGGGGAGAGAAAGAAACGAATCTTGAGAAGGTTCGGCGAAAGAGTCCCTTGAGCCACTTACCGTCATGCTGCCCTGCATCAGATTGAGACTGAGTATCTGCAGACTCTTCACCAGGCTGCTCTGCGTCGTCATTTCTCCCATCAGCTTATTGGCCTCGTCGCGATGGCCGAAGTAAATGGCCAGATCGAAGAGGAAACGTGATATCCATGGAGCCAGCGGTAGGGCCACCATCAGCTGGCTGAAATCACGCTGAAACTGATCCGTGTTGAGCAGCTGCCAGCACTGGGCTGCGTGCAGAAAGGCATTCGAGAGGTCCGGACTGTTGGGCGTCGTTAGCGAGAACTTGGGCGGCTCCATGCTCTGATCCTCGGCTCCATCGCCATCGGGCGCCCACTCAATGAAGCCCTCGACCAGCACATGACTGACATCCGCATCATCGATGCGCAACCTGCAGTTGCGTATGTAGCCGTACAGAGAGTAGATGAACAGCGTCGTGGCATAAAAGAGAACCTTCGAGCTGCCCGGTGGACTGGCGGAGAGAATGTCCACCAGCTTCTCCCAGTAGACGTTCTGGCTGCCCTGCTTGCTAAAGGGCAGAAACGGCTCCCAGCCCATCATCTGTCCACAGAGCATAAGGACTTTGAATATGGTCTTCCAGGGGTCCGCAGGTTCCGTCTCCGAATCCATTATCTGCCGCAGATAATACTCCAGAGAGTTGGTGTACAGCCTGCAGGCCAGCACTGGCGGCAGCTCTGGCGGCTTGTGCTGTATCATTGGCAGCACATCCTCCACCAGTATGCGCTGATACACATCCGGATCCGTGGTCATGCCCTCGGCCAGCAGCTCGAGCAAACGCGGCGCGTGTGTTGTGACCGATTTTGGGAATTTCTTAAACATCAAAATATAAATGCAGATGCACTGCTCCAGATCGTCGCCGCAGTGGTTGATGGTGTGCATGAATATGTTGTGCTGCACATCGTCCGTCAAGTGCTTGTACATCTTCACGAAGAACTCCTGCTCCGGCGTATTCTCGTTCTCGGTTCGCAGGGCATTGGTCAGGGCGTTTATCTCTTGCCACAGCTCTGCATGCCGATTTGGGAAATTGGTGGCACTGCAAAGTGGATTACATTTGGTTAATATTTGTATTTACTTGGCCTGTGTACTCACATAACACTGAAACACTTGGCCGCCTCCTCGTAGTTCTTGCCATCGCGCTCGAAAAGGTACGCCTCGTACTGCACATTGAACGCTGTGGGATACAGCACCTTGGCCGTCATGATCCATGCCTTGGCCGCATCCGGATCGCTCTTTCGAAAGCTCTGCGCCTGCTTGACCATAAACAATTCATTCTCCTCGTTTGACATTATTTCTCTTCGTCAACAAAAACATTTAGGCGGCAAGTTCTGAACAGCAGTGCTGTCCAACCTGCTTTCCCCGTCAGATCTAGCTTTTTTCAAAACAGCGGCTAGCGGGAAGTTGCACTTTTTACTTGTCTATTTTCAGTAATTCACAATGATTTGAACTGATTAAATTTCTGCAATCAATATTGCTATGTATTTAATTGCTATATATGATTTAAGGAATGTTTTATGTTTACATTTCTGCTCCTTTACATTCATTTAGCTATATTTCACACAAATAATACGCAGCAATGCTTACCAGTCTCTGTGTGATGTTAACCAGCACTGCTCTGTTTAGTGTGTTTTACAGCCCTAATAATCGGCTAATCGGTAATCGAAAAATGGGCCAGCTGATGTTTCTTGGGATTTTCGCAATAAATAAATAAACTAAACGAAATTATACTGCAAAAATAAAACAAGTTGAGCGTTTATATGCTGACGTAATTACCGGTGACCAATCGAACGGAAACTATACGTATGCGGGCCCACGCGCGTAAGCGAAAGATGATTAATGCGGTATATTTGGCATCTTTTGTTTGTGTGTAAAAACAATTACAGTTTCTCGGAATAAATAATAAAAAAAACAGACAGAGTTGCCCTATAAATGCAGTCATGTCTCACAGTTGTGATCATTCTTATTCGGCGGGAACGACTGGATGCACACGCTCGTCGTGTGGCTTATGACCAGCGTTAAACCCCTTAACGTTTATACATACATGTATATACGTATATGTATGTAAATAACGCAGCAACCCGAGCAATGACCAGCGTTAAATAACGCAGCAACCCGATTTTGATTGTCATGCTGCTAAAAAATGAGTATTCGGACAGTTTAAGCAGAATCGAAGTAACCAAATTAAACAGTAAACAGTAGAATGTCCGAAATAAAAACGGAACCCAAAATCAGCGACGGGCCCTCAACATCTGGGACACAGCAGCAACAAGTGTCTGCAACAGTCAGCGAGAAGCAACCAGCAAACGGTGCGTATTTCATATGTGCTTCTGGTTTGTTCCAATTTGTAATCTAAAAGTTGTGTTTACTCTGCACTCACCTCCATATCCATAGAAAACGGAAGGTTGCGAGAATGTTCTAGTATTATAAATTATAAAATTATGACAAATGTGTAAACACATACATACACACCATACATATACATACATATGTACTTGTCGCATAACTAATTCCACCGATTTATCTTAATTTCGCTGTCGCCTGTTTTGATTAATTTTCGTAGCTGTAACCGTATATTTGGCGTAACGGTAAACACTGAAAAGTGTTGCCAAACACATATTTACTCGTAAACGCGTTCTCTTTCCTGTGTGTGTATTTTTCGTATGTAGTGAATGAACTTTTTGGGTTTTGTACTTGCATCCATCCCCGCACTCAGCAGGTTAGTTTCCTCTTGTAATTTTTTGCTTATTTAAGTACCAAACGAGAACACAATCACCCAACTAACTAATCTTTATATATCTGAATAGAGAGCACCCAGAAATAACACATTCAACACACCCAAAAAAACCAAAAAAAAACACCAATCAGACCGAAGTTTTTATTGAAAACAAACAAAAACAAAAACTCTTTGCAGCGGCTGGACGCATGCGACGTTTGCTGCCGCAACCGAACCCTAAGGAGAACACTGAGCCACCTCTCGACGTCGAACATGCCACACCGGAGGATGTGCCACTGCATATGCGCCAACTGTTGGCCCAATGCGAGAGCGAAGATCGCAAAATCACGCCAGCCGAACTGCTGCTCCTGCTCATCTACCTCGTGGCCATGGAGTGCGGCTTTGTGGAGGTTGAGACCTACAGCCAGAAGCGACACAAGCTCCAGCCGGTGCCCGCCTTCAGCAGCTTTCATGCCGGCAATGTGAGGCTGCTCAGCCTCGAGCCGCCCCATTATTCAGTTGGATTCAATGATACCGTCTTCTCCTTTAAACTGCGCACGCTGCAGGACAAGCACACAACGGAAGAGGCGGCCCTGGTGGTCGCCATGGAGTCTCGCCTTAGGGCCGTGCATCTCGGCGATGAGCTGATGGTTAGCCTTAGTCCGCCGGTCTCCTCCAAGCTGCCAGGCTACAGCATAACTATTAGCATCGCTCGCTATGTCCTCAACATTCAGGCGAAGGGTAAACCGATCTTCAATCGCTTTCGCAAGCTGGACAATCTCTCCTACCAGCTGAGGCAGAACCTCTTTCATCCGATGCGCACACAGCAGCTCGGGCAAATCAATCAGCAGCTGCAGCCCTCACTCACGGGTCTGCCCGAGGAGCTCTACCAGCAGATATTCCGTTATCTCAATCGCTCGCAACTGAAGACGGTGGGAAAGGTTAATAGTCTTTTGAGTTATCATAGCAAAAGGACACTGAAGCGTCGTTAAGTGGATCAAAGTTCCTCATAAAAATCTCTAATTTATTTCTATACAATTAATTTTTTGTTTTTATTTTTAAATAAATGTAACGTTTAGACAATTAAATGGGTGTGATTATAATTAAACATGATTATTTTTAGGGTTCTGAATCGAATAAAATAAGACAAAATAAGAGGCTAACAAATCGCTTTTAAATAAATAAAAACTCAAGTTTCCAAGGCAAAAGTAAACAGATTTATAATTTAATTTCACTTCAAACAAAATTACTTATTCATATATTTATTTTTGCACTTTCCTTATCCTTATCGTTTGCATGCTTTTTGTGTTCTTTTCTTTTTGCATTTTTACGTTCAGTGGTGGAGCCCACAACGCCATCGGCGGAGTCATGTGAATCCTTTAATATATTTGAGCCAACGCCAACACCAATGCCATTGGACTGCATCAGCATTAAGAGCAGTGCCAGCAGTTACTTCTACGATCGTGATAATTTAGGTAAGTGTGAAAATACACCTCCATACGATACCCCATTGATGATGAAAGAGTGCGAGTGTGAGAGAGGGGTACACGCCCCTAAACGAGTCGGCCCTTAACCACAGAAGTGCAGAAAGTGTAACAAGCGGCTCCAGCAGCCAAAACAGCAGCCGAACCGTACACACACACACACACACACATGCCAGACACACACACTTCCCCACACATCGATGCGATTTTTTATCCACAAAACCCACGCGAACAACGACACCAGCATACAGGAGGAGCCCTCCTCAAACACCAGCCCCAACCCATTGGAAGCTTCCCCTTTTTTCGGCTGGGGATAGCATCCACAATTTGGTCTCTCCCTCGGCAGTCGTCGGGAGACTTGCTGCTCTTTGCTGGGCTCCTATTTCGTGTTTATATTACGATATCGACTTTCTCGGTCGACCTTATCACTGAAATAATAAAAATAAAAGCAGAATCGGGAAAGTGCCGCTCCCACTGCACTTCTGTTCGTGCCACCTTCTGCTCTTTGGGAGGCTTTCCCTGGGGTCCTGTCGAAATTATCCTGCTACAACTTTATCAAAATACCGAAAAACAGTGACAAATGCATAAATAAATTATAATAACAACCAACAAAAAAAGGGAAAAGCGTGCACACTCGTATTCCTATGGGTCGGCTCTCGCTCTCTCTCTCTCTCTCTCTATCTCTTTTACTCTCATTCCCTCTCTCTGTCTCTGTCTATGTCCAGCTCCAACTCTATCTGACAGCTTCACAATTTTATTTTTAAACATTGCCGTCTCCTGAAAAGCTCTCGAGAGCAAAAGCTTGTGCTCTTGAACGGGTCCTCGTCCTCGGCCCCCAGGAGCAGCTGTTTGCCTCGGCTACCGCCCACCATACCGATGGTTGGGTGAATGAACCCCAGTGATGTGGGTGTCAGTGGGCCGCATGCATCTCAAGGGCACTGTGGGCGTACAAATGACATAAACTACTTCATAAATTGAAACACCTGATACGATTTTACTCTTTGGCAAAACTGGTTATTTCCTGATTGAAAATTCGACAAAGCTGTTAATGAGGGCAATATCTTATCGCATGCAAGTGGCTTTCTTAGGTATTTACAGAAGTATGAATGTAAATATATATAGATTGCTTTATTTCGTTTCTTGCCTCGATGAATCAGTAATATATGTCGACAGTTTCTGAAACTCATTTGAATGTACTAGAATCTTGAGAGAATCTGCATTTAGTATGAATATCGTGGGAATCCCACTGCTAATATTTGCGTAGAATATTCTTGAATCAAAAATAGTCAACAATTAAGGAGATACAATTCAAATATTTCTAGCATTTTCAATGCCAAAATTGCACAAATTTCGTAGGAATATTTGTATATTTTTGCTAACTGTTAGCCTCTTGGTTGCATATTTTAATGTAGTTTTATTAGTTATATTTTTTGTTAAATATTATACGTAGCTATTTTCACCAAAATCTCCCTCTGCTTGCTGTCCACAAACTAACCACTCTGTCCCATTGTGCGCTCTTCGCTGATGTTAAACTGTGCCAAAGTTTTCATTGCTGCTGCGCCTCCCTCACGCTCTCGCTCTCTTCGCTTCCTTCGTGTGTTTGCTGATTCTAGCGCTAACTGTGTTTTCTGTTGTTGCCATTACTTTCACGAGTATATTCGCAACGGTAAACAGCCCGCAAAGAGTGGAAAGGGTAAGTGGTAGGCAAAACATACGCTTTTGATGGGATGCAAGTATAAACAGAAGAAGCTGCACACCACACTGCTGCCCCATCGGCTCTCGGCCACTCTTCTTCGCTCTCCCCCTGTTGCTGTTGGCATCGTTATCTGTGCTTTCTCTCTCTCGCTGGAAAACCCTCTCTCTCGCTCTCTCGCAGTTGATTGCGCTTTTGGCAGCCAGGCTACGCGGACTACAGCTTTTTCTCAGGATAACAAAGCTCCGTGCAATCAGTCGTCGTACTTTAGCTTAACGTCTCTGGTCGGTTGAAACGGTACTTACACTCCACTGGAGCAACTTGTCACACAGCCACAGAGAGGAAGAGTGACTGAGTGAGAGATTTGCTCTACACCCGATATACCGTTACGTTCGTGTTCGCCGTGTTCGCTTCGCGTTGATTAAGGCCCTACTTTCGCTGGGAAGTAGG